TCTCGCCGTCTACTTATTTATCTGCCTGTGACTGATCGATCATCAGAGTCAAATTGCTCATTTATTCTGTTTATTCTTAAGGAGCACGCTTTTTGCTACCGTATAAAGAAAGAACGTTTTAATTACCTAATACGAGATTTGGTGCAATTTTTGGGTTGCTAGTTTGGTATTTTTACAGATATCTGGATCCTTATTAGCCATATTGCGAGTGTTTCAAATGTCTTCCTAATTAACTAAAACCAAAAGTAGCGGTTTATTTGAGTATTAACATTACTACCTGTTCAGCAGTTAAGACGCAAGGGTTGTTTGTAAAAAACAAGGCATCGCTCTTCTTTTTTTATTGCACGGACAATTTGTGACCCTCCATTATTTGCATACCTACAACAAACCCAACTAAGAGATAACTCAAGTTCCACGTTAGTGACTAAAGCACAAGATGTATTCAGCACCTTTTACCTCATGCAAAGAATAAGACCGCTTCAGCAAAGATTCACTTTAAAAATATTAGTCGTTTAATAGGTAGAAAATACTACAGAAAAAAGCTATTTATAGTAAAATAGCGTAGCTGCAGATACGCACGACAGAAGTCCAGAGATAAATGTATCTAATCTTGGCATCCATACTTTCGTTTAACTAGGAGTAAAGAGAGATCTGCCTTCAACGAACCAAAATTGGCTGTAACTCAATTATAACATCCGTAGGCAGTAGGTAATATTTTCAGGTTTGTAGCAAACTGATAACAATGATGATGAAGGAGACAAGACTGGTTCATTATGTGCTTGATGTGGAGCATCACCTGCCCAGTAAATCCCTTTAGTTTATTCTGCCAATTAGAGACATGATAAATAAATTCACTGGATAATATACAAAATTCTTCCTCTAATTCCTCACAAAATCCACTGCATGATCTTCGTGTTTGTATCACGACTTATTTCGACTCGATCGAACATGGTAATGATGGGCGATGTTGAATTGTAAGAATGATAAGATCTATGGAATGAAATGCCATCGCTTTAAATGTACGATGCGACATTTTCCTAGAGTTTGTCATTTTATTTGAAATAGGTTCAAAAAACAATCTATCTGCGTTCACCTTTTAAACAACGACGCAGATACGTTTAGTAATGGCTAAACACGTCCACTAATTCAAATTTCTTAAGCGAGTTTGAATAGTGACATTTAAAACCAAGAATATTCTTATGCTTCTTTGAAAAATGTGGCATAACTTTATAGAAGCTGTCTGTCTTAGCTACCTCTTCGTCCAAATACCAAATGGACATGGGCAAATTCGAAAGACCCATCGAAAATCATTAGTTTAATGCTCATGCAAGTCAAAATTACAAAAAGGTACATTAAGGTAAATGACTATTATTGATGCTAGAGCATTTTGGGGCCATAGCTTTTTATTCCTGAATGCTTGAAAATTTTCGTTGTGCACTTTTACGTATCCAACCCTTCGTGAAATCGTAACTAGCCACTCCAATGTGGAAAAATGGCTTATTATTAGCGTACAGGAGAGTTGAGAGATCATACCCATGACCGGATGTCTGTGTCACCCGCAGAGTCAAAGAAGTCGAGTCTGCGTAGCCAAATGGACATTTAAGCAACAGTTCACTACAAAGACCTCTTCTTTCGAATGCTATTCTGAGCTCTCTCGCAGTTACCCTCCAGTTCCAACCTTAACGAAACTGTCTGTATATTGTAATCAACAAAAGGACAGGAACAAGATGACCTGAACAATAAACTAACGAAATAATTTAGCAGATGGTCCTTAATGCTAGACGATGTTCTCTGTCCGCCAACCCCTGCCCCAGTAAAACATGTCTAAAAACAGCATTAGGAGAAGCTTCATATTCCTAGACTTAAATGCTAATCTTTGGGCATAGAGACAAAGGGGAGGCATTTCCTTAAGGGCATTTTCTGTGTGGGGACAACTTCTTATCTATGTTCACCTTTAGGCATTGTCCAGATCTCGAAACTGGAGCGTGCCAAAAATCTTTCCCATTTCACTTCTTTTGAAGTGAGTCTTTATGGCCTTAACTATTCATCGTAGGTATCCTTCTATTGGTAGCCGACTAACGGATTCACGATAATTATTTCCTTGATGGGAGGGGAGGGTGGAGGCAGAGGTTCGCCTACTGCTGCCACCAAAGTAGTGTAACGAGTCATCCCTAAAAACGGTGAGTGAAAACCCATACCGCCAAGACGTTGGCAGAGCTCATGGAGAGCCAAGAGTCCGTCCAGCCAAAAAATGCCTTTAAAAAAATGTCAGTTGACTGCAGCGCAATTTGTTAAATCCAACGAGTGAAAAGCATTCCTAAAGGAAAAACTAAGGTTGCCCTTTCTCCTTTATTTCAGTATTTTTGTAATTAGTGACAAAAGACTTCAGTTTTGGGTTATTTAATTTCAAACCGGAACGCAAACAGGTATGCAACTAGCTACTTCGAAGGTACAAAAAACACCGGAATTCCTCCTATCAAAATATGGAGATTATCGACGCTCGTCGTATATACACACTTATATCTTGTAACAAATATGCTCGTCTTGCAATTTGGTGATATTTAGCTAAACACACACACGTGTGTGTACGAACGTGACGAGCGCTGCATCGTACGCGGTTATATGCCAACGACTACGGCCACGACAGCATCAACAGCAGCATTCGTACATACACACTGCCCTGGCAGTGCTCGCGTGCACACGTGATAGCACTGCCGCACACACACGCAGCAAATCGATTACCACGCTGCCGCATCTTTGGCCTTTGCTTGATTGGCTAACTGCACGACACCACACGCGCACGTATGCACTGTGACCACAAGGAGTGCGTGTTGGACTAAAAATACGACGCCCTCTTAACATGTGCAATGAGCGTGTCCACCTGCGTCCTCTACAGCCGATGACATCCATCCGTCCATCCCGTGTCCATCCTCCCACCCCGTAACCAACTAACCATCCATCCACCCATCCATCCATCTACCTATCCTCCCTGAAGAAGTATAGGATTGGGAGGCGAGTCTGGCGGTATGCGCGTTTGTTTATTCCCTCCCAAAAGGTGAGAGTGACCTCGATCGAAAATGGTAGTTCACGCTACTGACAACGATGACGCGATGATGTTGATTATCGTTATTATTTTATCTTGACTGCAGGGATATGACCATGAAGAATGCTCTTTAACGGTAACTTAAGATAATCAGCTTAGAGAGAGTCCATAGTCGCTTTTTCGATGAGTTTGTAGATTCAGCCTTCCATAGCAGATGGGTTTTATATCACCCATCCAAATTGTCTGGATGTTAGATGCCGTTCGCATTCTTTGCGAGAGGTATCTCACCAATGTAGCGCTCCACTTACCAATGAAGCTGTTGGAGCGAGAAGGGAGGTTACCAGTGTATCCGAGTCACACTAGACCAAATGAAATCAGTATAAATGGTATATTTGGTTCAAAAGAATTATCGTATGGTTGGAGTAGAAAGGCTGAGATTTTCGACTAAAATTCTTCATGTTGTTGCATACTACAGTTGCCAGTAAGACCTCTTAAATACGAATAATTAATGACTTTATAAAATCCCACTCTTCCCACTTATACACATTTACTGATTACTTAGGTACTATATGATACGAAAGGTTTCAGTTTGAGCAAACCAGTAGTATATTCGAGAATTTTTAGTTGACTACTAGTAAGGAATAATACATCAAAATCTATGGAATTGTAGAACCTGATATGCGGTTTCACACTTGATGAACTAAACCAGTATCTTTGATCATACTAGCTCAAACACGTGTTAGGTGCACACATCGACCGCTGACCATAGTCGTGAAAGCTCAACAGTGGTTAGCTCATATCTTGAAGCCAGGGTAATGTTCGAATGATTTGGAAAATCCTAGCTGATATTCATTCGCCGGTAAGCAATTTTGCAATATTAATGCTGAATTGGGAATTAACAGCAATTACTAATATCTTAACATGAATTTATAAACCGATTCTGTTTTTGAGACTTCCAGACATAATATGTGCGGCCATGTCAAAAGTATCCCCATTTTTTGTCCCCTTCAAAGAGTTAAATAAAAGCGAGTCCACTATGATGGCAACAACGATGAAAATTACACAAAAAATTGGTGATGATGAAGTGGGCTTAATGCTTCCCGAATTCGGGAGCATAATTTGTACCAATGAAGGAGGGAAGTATTTAAGGCGATCTCACAAATTGAATCGGATTGGCGATTACCTAATAAACTTATTTCCACCCAGTTGTCAATTACTGCCTCAATATTCACACTGACTGAACCATGGTATTCCAGATTTCAGTCTACTTTCATTCCCAGGTAGGTGGCAACTCACCAGTCTGAAGTGATGGAAAATTGTTACAACATTACTGAGGATTCAGCCAATGAGAGCCGCAAGTGTCACGGTGATGCCGTAATCATTTGTATGCTGTGGTTACAGTTCATTATTTTATTTTATCACATGAAACTGAACAACAGTAAAAATAGCTATAAATTTAGTAAAAATCTTTACACAAGAAGTCACTTGTTTTTCTGGGATAATTTTTTTCTGTATTTTCAAACCGAAGGCATTCCCATGAACACTGATGTGGCGTAGATGTAGGGAGCACCTGTGTATTATTGTAGAGCTGGCACAGTAAAATAATGGTGAGACTGTGTATTCCAATGGACGTAGCAGCGTGACTAATTTGGACAGCAAAGCTATTGAAATGTGATGTAAAAGAAGTTGATATTGTTGCTACACAGCAGTGCGTTCCAAATTATTTGAAAATTTTTAAGTACGTTAACCATCTATTTGACAGGCAGCTCTGGATTATCTCAGTGAACAATAATAGATTCCCAGTGTTCCATTTTTATGCAAAAGGGGTCAGCACTCTTGTCTAATACCCTATCTCATGGGCATGTCAGATATCACCAAATCATGAGGTCCATATCGGGAAATTAGTTATCCCCTTAACATTTGGGCTTCTTTAATGAAATAGTTGTCCTGGTGTTCCTGGCGTATCATTCTAGCAAATATCACTACAGCTTATATCTAGGCAGATGAATTGGGTGGTAAAAATCATAGCGGAGCCACAAAGTGAACTGAAACACAGCACCTTCATTTAAAATTAAAGAAGTTAGAAATTGTTATGCAAGTCTAGGTCCGATCCAAGTTGATTTTGTTCGGATTTGTAAGTTCTTCTTTCTATTTTTATTGCAAAGGCAAGGCTGATAAACTACCAGATCCAAAATCTAACGAAACTCAAGGTAAGTTAACACATGACCCCACCTTGATGATTGTTAATAGCGGCAAGGCCAGATTAACAGTAATATTTAGCAATCGACTTTGTTTAAGCCTATTACAGGCAATACGAATAAATCCGTCTTTTACCAACAAACTATTTTGGTAGAATTATGTTTGATTGGTATTTAACCCCCCAGACTACTAACCACCTTGGATTCAAGGCGTCCTGCCCATGTTTATAGTCTGCCAGCCCCTCCGTGCGTTAAAGTCATTGACATTAAGGTCCAACTTGGAGCAACAGAAAGCAAACTTGGTTTAAAAACGGTGATTCCAGATTCGTTGGCTGAATTCGTAGGCTATGGATGACTGAATCTCGAGGGTCTTACAACAGAGGGCTCACCAAATTCGTGTCAACATTTGGTAGCTGCTACAACCTCCAGTTGTCGACAGAGTTCAATAATAAAGAGTGATCACACTTAAAGGAGCAGTAAGTAGTCCCTAGGGAGCTGCTTAGTACTTGGTTCTAAGGCCGTGGTGCGCTTTTTATAATGGTGCATTCACTCAGGTGTCCTTAAGAAATGAGGCAGGCGCATAGAACGAACTCGCTGTAACCTTTACAGTGCCTCCCGGATGAAACCCCTCTCGGATGCGTTGAGCCTAACAGAAGACGCAAAATTTGGGAAATTAACCAGGTCTATGGTATGTATTATCATTAAGCCTTCTCGATAATTATGTAAATTTACCATACCGCTTTTGACTTTGTATATTACAATTCGCATAAATGTTTGTGGGAGCCGTAGAAACGTCGATATGGAGGGCTCCAAGGGTGACATCCTAAAGAAGGGATGGCCATGAAGAGAAGGGTTGCTTGTTTAGACCCCTCAGACGATTCACTGGTACAGATTCGGTATCCCCTTTAGACACATAATCTCTTACCCCCTCTAAAATATTCCCACCATCTAGTTAGGATTATTACGCCGGAAAATAACTCAGAGTAATACTTTATTTTACGTTTAAGTAATTTAGACGTGGTTTATTCAAGATAATGAAATAAATATGGGATTTACCAACTTCGCAACAGAAATTTGTGGAAAATCGAAGTATGCAGTGCTTCAGTACAGATAACTAAAAAATAAGATACAATAATTGAAAATAAAACAACGAAACTGCTGTTTCCCGTTAGATGAGTTGCCATTAATGCCACAAGCCTAACCCTTGACAATAAAATGCGCCAAACCACATATCGGCAAAATTATCAATTTAAGTATTTTCTAGCTGTAAAATTGATGATCCAGACGTCGCCTATTCATCTATGATCCCAAGAACTAAAGGGGTTTAAACCTCGATGTTTGTTCACCTATTTTACCATAGCAAGGCGTAACTAATCATGGCAACAATTCAAATCATGTAACTTTAGACTACAGAAGAGTGATTTTTTAATCCTTAAGTGGCCATGGATGAAAATGTTGTCTCTATTCGAATCGCGCAGATGGCAAGGCAGCAGATATGTAACATATTAACTGCTTATTTAACTCTCGGTTACTGCAAAGGAACCACTTCGGGTCTCCACCTCTGTAACTCCACCATGTGGGCTGGCCTCCTGGCCATATCTCGCCGTCTACTTATTTATCTGCCTGTGACTGATCGATCATCAGAGTCAAATTGCTCATTTATTCTGTTTATTCTTAAGGAGCACGCTTTTTGCTACCGTATAAAGAAAGAACGTTTTAATTACCTAATACGAGATTTGGTGCAATTTTTGGGTTGCTAGTTTGGTATTTTTACAGATATCTGGATCCTTATTAGCCATATTGCGAGTGTTTCAAATGTCTTCCTAATTAACTAAAACCAAAAGTAGCGGTTTATTTGAGTATTAACATTACTACCTGTTCAGCAGTTAAGACGCAAGGGTTGTTTGTAAAAAACAAGGCATCGCTCTTCTTTTTTTATTGCACGGACAATTTGTGACCCTCCATTATTTGCATACCTACAACAAACCCAACTAAGAGATAACTCAAGTTCCACGTTAGTGACTAAAGCACAAGATGTATTCAGCACCTTTTACCTCATGCAAAGAATAAGACCGCTTCAGCAAAGATTCACTTTAAAAATATTAGTCGTTTAATAGGTAGAAAATACTACAGAAAAAAGCTATTTATAGTAAAATAGCGTAGCTGCAGATACGCACGACAGAAGTCCAGAGATAAATGTATCTAATCTTGGCATCCATACTTTCGTTTAACTAGGAGTAAAGAGAGATCTGCCTTCAACGAACCAAAATTGGCTGTAACTCAATTATAACATCCGTAGGCAGTAGGTAATATTTTCAGGTTTGTAGCAAACTGATAACAATGATGATGAAGGAGACAAGACTGGTTCATTATGTGCTTGATGTGGAGCATCACCTGCCCAGTAAATCCCTTTAGTTTATTCTGCCAATTAGAGACATGATAAATAAATTCACTGGATAATATACAAAATTCTTCCTCTAATTCCTCACAAAATCCACTGCATGATCTTCGTGTTTGTATCACGACTTATTTCGACTCGATCGAACATGGTAATGATGGGCGATGTTGAATTGTAAGAATGATAAGATCTATGGAATGAAATGCCATCGCTTTAAATGTACGATGCGACATTTTCCTAGAGTTTGTCATTTTATTTGAAATAGGTTCAAAAAACAATCTATCTGCGTTCACCTTTTAAACAACGACGCAGATACGTTTAGTAATGGCTAAACACGTCCACTAATTCAAATTTCTTAAGCGAGTTTGAATAGTGACATTTAAAACCAAGAATATTCTTATGCTTCTTTGAAAAATGTGGCATAACTTTATAGAAGCTGTCTGTCTTAGCTACCTCTTCGTCCAAATACCAAATGGACATGGGCAAATTCGAAAGACCCATCGAAAATCATTAGTTTAATGCTCATGCAAGTCAAAATTACAAAAAGGTACATTAAGGTAAATGACTATTATTGATGCTAGAGCATTTTGGGGCCATAGCTTTTTATTCCTGAATGCTTGAAAATTTTCGTTGTGCACTTTTACGTATCCAACCCTTCGTGAAATCGTAACTAGCCACTCCAATGTGGAAAAATGGCTTATTATTAGCGTACAGGAGAGTTGAGAGATCATACCCATGACCGGATGTCTGTGTCACCCGCAGAGTCAAAGAAGTCGAGTCTGCGTAGCCAAATGGACATTTAAGCAACAGTTCACTACAAAGACCTCTTCTTTCGAATGCTATTCTGAGCTCTCTCGCAGTTACCCTCCAGTTCCAACCTTAACGAAACTGTCTGTATATTGTAATCAACAAAAGGACAGGAACAAGATGACCTGAACAATAAACTAACGAAATAATTTAGCAGATGGTCCTTAATGCTAGACGATGTTCTCTGTCCGCCAACCCCTGCCCCAGTAAAACATGTCTAAAAACAGCATTAGGAGAAGCTTCATATTCCTAGACTTAAATGCTAATCTTTGGGCATAGAGACAAAGGGGAGGCATTTCCTTAAGGGCATTTTCTGTGTGGGGACAACTTCTTATCTATGTTCACCTTTAGGCATTGTCCAGATCTCGAAACTGGAGCGTGCCAAAAATCTTTCCCATTTCACTTCTTTTGAAGTGAGTCTTTATGGCCTTAACTATTCATCGTAGGTATCCTTCTATTGGTAGCCGACTAACGGATTCACGATAATTATTTCCTTGATGGGAGGGGAGGGTGGAGGCAGAGGTTCGCCTACTGCTGCCACCAAAGTAGTGTAACGAGTCATCCCTAAAAACGGTGAGTGAAAACCCATACCGCCAAGACGTTGGCAGAGCTCATGGAGAGCCAAGAGTCCGTCCAGCCAAAAAATGCCTTTAAAAAAATGTCAGTTGACTGCAGCGCAATTTGTTAAATCCAACGAGTGAAAAGCATTCCTAAAGGAAAAACTAAGGTTGCCCTTTCTCCTTTATTTCAGTATTTTTGTAATTAGTGACAAAAGACTTCAGTTTTGGGTTATTTAATTTCAAACCGGAACGCAAACAGGTATGCAACTAGCTACTTCGAAGGTACAAAAAACACCGGAATTCCTCCTATCAAAATATGGAGATTATCGACGCTCGTCGTATATACACACTTATATCTTGTAACAAATATGCTCGTCTTGCAATTTGGTGATATTTAGCTAAACACACACACGTGTGTGTACGAACGTGACGAGCGCTGCATCGTACGCGGTTATATGCCAACGACTACGGCCACGACAGCATCAACAGCAGCATTCGTACATACACACTGCCCTGGCAGTGCTCGCGTGCACACGTGATAGCACTGCCGCACACACACGCAGCAAATCGATTACCACGCTGCCGCATCTTTGGCCTTTGCTTGATTGGCTAACTGCACGACACCACACGCGCACGTATGCACTGTGACCACAAGGAGTGCGTGTTGGACTAAAAATACGACGCCCTCTTAACATGTGCAATGAGCGTGTCCACCTGCGTCCTCTACAGCCGATGACATCCATCCGTCCATCCCGTGTCCATCCTCCCACCCCGTAACCAACTAACCATCCATCCACCCATCCATCCATCTACCTATCCTCCCTGAAGAAGTATAGGATTGGGAGGCGAGTCTGGCGGTATGCGCGTTTGTTTATTCCCTCCCAAAAGGTGAGAGTGACCTCGATCGAAAATGGTAGTTCACGCTACTGACAACGATGACGCGATGATGTTGATTATCGTTATTATTTTATCTTGACTGCAGGGATATGACCATGAAGAATGCTCTTTAACGGTAACTTAAGATAATCAGCTTAGAGAGAGTCCATAGTCGCTTTTTCGATGAGTTTGTAGATTCAGCCTTCCATAGCAGATGGGTTTTATATCACCCATCCAAATTGTCTGGATGTTAGATGCCGTTCGCATTCTTTGCGAGAGGTATCTCACCAATGTAGCGCTCCACTTACCAATGAAGCTGTTGGAGCGAGAAGGGAGGTTACCAGTGTATCCGAGTCACACTAGACCAAATGAAATCAGTATAAATGGTATATTTGGTTCAAAAGAATTATCGTATGGTTGGAGTAGAAAGGCTGAGATTTTCGACTAAAATTCTTCATGTTGTTGCATACTACAGTTGCCAGTAAGACCTCTTAAATACGAATAATTAATGACTTTATAAAATCCCACTCTTCCCACTTATACACATTTACTGATTACTTAGGTACTATATGATACGAAAGGTTTCAGTTTGAGCAAACCAGTAGTATATTCGAGAATTTTTAGTTGACTACTAGTAAGGAATAATACATCAAAATCTATGGAATTGTAGAACCTGATATGCGGTTTCACACTTGATGAACTAAACCAGTATCTTTGATCATACTAGCTCAAACACGTGTTAGGTGCACACATCGACCGCTGACCATAGTCGTGAAAGCTCAACAGTGGTTAGCTCATATCTTGAAGCCAGGGTAATGTTCGAATGATTTGGAAAATCCTAGCTGATATTCATTCGCCGGTAAGCAATTTTGCAATATTAATGCTGAATTGGGAATTAACAGCAATTACTAATATCTTAACATGAATTTATAAACCGATTCTGTTTTTGAGACTTCCAGACATAATATGTGCGGCCATGTCAAAAGTATCCCCATTTTTTGTCCCCTTCAAAGAGTTAAATAAAAGCGAGTCCACTATGATGGCAACAACGATGAAAATTACACAAAAAATTGGTGATGATGAAGTGGGCTTAATGCTTCCCGAATTCGGGAGCATAATTTGTACCAATGAAGGAGGGAAGTATTTAAGGCGATCTCACAAATTGAATCGGATTGGCGATTACCTAATAAACTTATTTCCACCCAGTTGTCAATTACTGCCTCAATATTCACACTGACTGAACCATGGTATTCCAGATTTCAGTCTACTTTCATTCCCAGGTAGGTGGCAACTCACCAGTCTGAAGTGATGGAAAATTGTTACAACATTACTGAGGATTCAGCCAATGAGAGCCGCAAGTGTCACGGTGATGCCGTAATCATTTGTATGCTGTGGTTACAGTTCATTATTTTATTTTATCACATGAAACTGAACAACAGTAAAAATAGCTATAAATTTAGTAAAAATCTTTACACAAGAAGTCACTTGTTTTTCTGGGATAATTTTTTTCTGTATTTTCAAACCGAAGGCATTCCCATGAACACTGATGTGGCGTAGATGTAGGGAGCACCTGTGTATTATTGTAGAGCTGGCACAGTAAAATAATGGTGAGACTGTGTATTCCAATGGACGTAGCAGCGTGACTAATTTGGACAGCAAAGCTATTGAAATGTGATGTAAAAGAAGTTGATATTGTTGCTACACAGCAGTGCGTTCCAAATTATTTGAAAATTTTTAAGTACGTTAACCATCTATTTGACAGGCAGCTCTGGATTATCTCAGTGAACAATAATAGATTCCCAGTGTTCCATTTTTATGCAAAAGGGGTCAGCACTCTTGTCTAATACCCTATCTCATGGGCATGTCAGATATCACCAAATCATGAGGTCCATATCGGGAAATTAGTTATCCCCTTAACATTTGGGCTTCTTTAATGAAATAGTTGTCCTGGTGTTCCTGGCGTATCATTCTAGCAAATATCACTACAGCTTATATCTAGGCAGATGAATTGGGTGGTAAAAATCATAGCGGAGCCACAAAGTGAACTGAAACACAGCACCTTCATTTAAAATTAAAGAAGTTAGAAATTGTTATGCAAGTCTAGGTCCGATCCAAGTTGATTTTGTTCGGATTTGTAAGTTCTTCTTTCTATTTTTATTGCAAAGGCAAGGCTGATAAACTACCAGATCCAAAATCTAACGAAACTCAAGGTAAGTTAACACATGACCCCACCTTGATGATTGTTAATAGCGGCAAGGCCAGATTAACAGTAATATTTAGCAATCGACTTTGTTTAAGCCTATTACAGGCAATACGAATAAATCCGTCTTTTACCAACAAACTATTTTGGTAGAATTATGTTTGATTGGTATTTAACCCCCCAGACTACTAACCACCTTGGATTCAAGGCGTCCTGCCCATGTTTATAGTCTGCCAGCCCCTCCGTGCGTTAAAGTCATTGACATTAAGGTCCAACTTGGAGCAACAGAAAGCAAACTTGGTTTAAAAACGGTGATTCCAGATTCGTTGGCTGAATTCGTAGGCTATGGATGACTGAATCTCGAGGGTCTTACAACAGAGGGCTCACCAAATTCGTGTCAACATTTGGTAGCTGCTACAACCTCCAGTTGTCGACAGAGTTCAATAATAAAGAGTGATCACACTTAAAGGAGCAGTAAGTAGTCCCTAGGGAGCTGCTTAGTACTTGGTTCTAAGGCCGTGGTGCGCTTTTTATAATGGTGCATTCACTCAGGTGTCCTTAAGAAATGAGGCAGGCGCATAGAACGAACTCGCTGTAACCTTTACAGTGCCTCCCGGATGAAACCCCTCTCGGATGCGTTGAGCCTAACAGAAGACGCAAAATTTGGGAAATTAACCAGGTCTATGGTATGTATTATCATTAAGCCTTCTCGATAATTATGTAAATTTACCATACCGCTTTTGACTTTGTATATTACAATTCGCATAAATGTTTGTGGGAGCCGTAGAAACGTCGATATGGAGGGCTCCAAGGGTGACATCCTAAAGAAGGGATGGCCATGAAGAGAAGGGTTGCTTGTTTAGACCCCTCAGACGATTCACTGGTACAGATTCGGTATCCCCTTTAGACACATAATCTCTTACCCCCTCTAAAATATTCCCACCATCTAGTTAGGATTATTACGCCGGAAAATAACTCAGAGTAATACTTTATTTTACGTTTAAGTAATTTAGACGTGGTTTATTCAAGATAATGAAATAAATATGGGATTTACCAACTTCGCAACAGAAATTTGTGGAAAATCGAAGTATGCAGTGCTTCAGTACAGATAACTAAAAAATAAGATACAATAATTGAAAATAAAACAACGAAACTGCTGTTTCCCGTTAGATGAGTTGCCATTAATGCCACAAGCCTAACCCTTGACAATAAAATGCGCCAAACCACATATCGGCAAAATTATCAATTTAAGTATTTTCTAGCTGTAAAATTGATGATCCAGACGTCGCCTATTCATCTATGATCCCAAGAACTAAAGGGGTTTAAACCTCGATGTTTGTTCACCTATTTTACCATAGCAAGGCGTAACTAATCATGGCAACAATTCAAATCATGTAACTTTAGACTACAGAAGAGTGATTTTTTAATCCTTAAGTGGCCATGGATGAAAATGTTGTCTCTATTCGAATCGCGCAGATGGCAAGGCAGCAGATATGTAACATATTAACTGCTTATTTAACTCTCGGTTACTGCAAAGGAACCACTTCGGGTCTCCACCTCTGTAACTCCACCATGTGGGCTGGCCTCCTGGCCATACCAGTAGACACAATCCTTTCTATAAGTCGAATAAACATGTTCGGCCCAAGTATTATGTTTTCTTTTTTCTTTAGAGAAGTCTAGGGGCTCTACGGATACACGTCCGAAAAACTTTGTGCCAGCATTTATG